TTTAATGGGGATTGCAAAGAATCTGTAGATTGCTTTGGGTAGAATAGACATATTAACCGTGTTCATTCTTCCCAGCCAAGAGCATGGTATGTTCTTCCATTTGTTAATGTCTTCTGATATTTCTTTTCTTAGAGTTTCATAATTCTCTTTGTAGAGAGTATACCTCTTTTGTTAGGTATATTCCTAAGTATTTCATTTTTTTTAAAGCTATTGTGAAGGGAATTGTGTCCTTGATTTGCTTCTGAATTTGGCTGATATTGGCATATACAAAGGCTACTGATCTATGGATACTGATTTTATACCCTGAGATGTTAATGTATTTCTTGATCACTTCTGGGAGTTTTGTGGTTGAGTCTCTGGGTTTTCTAAGTGTAAGATTGTATCATCAGCAAAGAGTGAGAGTTTGACCTCTTCTGCCCCCATTTCGATGCCCTTTATATCCTTTTCTTATTTGATTACATTAGCTAGAACTTGTAGAACTATGTTGAATAGTAGTGGTGAGAGTGGAAATCCTTGTCTGGTTCCAGTACTGAGTGGAAACCTTTTCAGTTTTATTCTATTCGATATGATGTTAGCTGTGGGTTTGTCATAGATGGCTTCATTGAGCTTCAGAAATGTGCCACCTATGCACATTTTCTTTAGTGTTCTTATTAGAAAAGAATGCTGAATTTTATCAAATGTTTTCTTCTGCATCTATTGAGAGGATCATATGATCTTTATTTTTGCTTCTATTGATATAGTAAATAACATTTATGGATTTGCATGACCATAAATTGGATGAAGCCTACTTGGTTGTGATATATAATTTTTTAAATGTGTAGCTACAATCTATTAGCTAAGATTTTTTGAGTATTTTTGCATCTACATTCATTAGTGAAATTGTTCTGTAGTTCTCCCTTTCAGTTGGGTCCTTTCCTGGTCTTGGTATCAGAGTGATGTTTGCTTCACAGAATGTGTTGGGGGAAGTTTCCTTCCTTTTCGATGTTTTGGAATAGGTTCTGCAGTATAGGCACAAGAAAGAGTTTTTGTTGTTTCTTCAATTGCAGTGCTTGATATTGGTCTGTTCAAGAGCTCTATTTCTTTCTATGTAAGTCTAGGGACATGGTGTAATTCCAGCTATTGGTCCATTTCCTCCACATTGTCAAATTTCTGGGCATGAAGTTTTTTGCAGTAGTCAGAAACAATCTCTTGTATCTCTGTGGTATTGGTTGTTATTTCCTCCTTTACATTTCTGATTAAGGGTATTAGAGATTTTACTTTTCTGTTTTTAGTTATCTGCTCAAAACTTTATTGATTTTATTCATCTTTTCAAAGAACTAATGTTTTGTTTCCTTAATTTTCTGAATGATTCTTTTGTTTTCAATTTCACTTATTTCTGATTTAATTTTGTTTATTTGTTTTCTTGGCTAGATTTGTGATTGGTTTGCTCTTTCTTTTTCATTTCCTTGAGAAGATTCATTATGTTTTTCCCTTTCTGTTTTTTGGATGTAGGCATCTAAAGTAATAAATATTCCTTTTAGGAGTGCTTTTGCCATATCCCACAGGTATTGGTGGCTTGTGTCTTCATTGTTGTTATTTTCAAGTTAATGATTTCCTCCTTTTTCTGTTTCTTAACTTTCCAACTGTCATTCAGCATAAGATTGTTTAGTTTCAGGCCTTTCTGTGGGGATGAAAATTTTTTTGGAGTTGAATTCAACCTTTATTTCCTTGTGGTCTGAAAAGATATAAGGTATAATTTTAATTCTTTTGATTTGGTTGAGATTTGGTTTTTGTCCTAAGGTATCTATTTTGTAGAATGTTCTGTGGACTGATGAGAAGTATGTATATTCCTTAGCATTGGGATGATGAGTCCTGTATATGTCTCTTAAGCCCAATTGTTCTCGGGTTGCATTTAAGTCCCTTGTATCTTTGTTTAGTTTCTGTTTAAAGTATCTGTCCAACTGTGTAAGGGGTGTTAAAGTACCCAGGTACTTTACTTTGCTGGTGGTCCATTGCAGTGGTCTCTGTGGAGGATAATCTAAGTATTTCCTGTAGAGCTGGTCTTGTGGCAAATATTCTAAATGTTTGCATATCAGTAAAAGATTTGATTTCTCCATCAATTTTAAAGTTTAGCTTTGCAGGATATAGAATTCTGGGGTGAAAATTGCTTTGTTTAAGAAGGTTAATGATAGATGACCTTTCTCTTCTGGCTTGAAAAGTTTCAGCTGAGAAGTCTGCTGTCATCCTGATGGTTCTGCCCTATAGGTCAATTGGCATTTACTCTGGTTGCTTTCAAAATTTTCTCTTTTCCCTTGACTTTGGACAGGTTCATGACAATATGTCTTGGAGATGCTCTGTTTGAGTTGAGATGACTCAGAATTCATTATCCCTCTAATGCAGTGGTTCTCAACCGTCCTAATGCCATGATGTATTCTCATTGTTACAAAGGGGTCACAACCTACAGGTTGAGAACTGCTGCTCTAATGGGAATGTGTCAGGATCTTTGGTGATACTTGGGAAATTTTCATTTATAATATCCTTCAGTAGGGTTTCCCTTCCTTTGAGGCATTTTTCTTCCTCTTCTAGGATACCTATAATTCATATGTATGAACATTTCATGAAGTCCCATACTCTAAGTGAATGTTCTGATTTTTTTTCTTTTCTTTTTTGCCTCTTTAATTGCCTCTGTTAGCTCAAGAAATTTATCCTGTACCTCTGAGATTCTTTCTTCTTTATGATCTAATCTGTTATTGATACTTTCTACTGCATCTTTAAGTTCCTTGATTAACTCCTTCCATTCCTTAAGCTCTACTATATCCTTTCTATATTCTTCATATCTTTCATTCCTTATTTGGTTCTGGTTTTGGACTTCATTTTGGTTATTTTCCACTTTTTCACAATTTCCTACATTGTTTTTACCATCTGTATTTTAAATTCCCTTTCTGTCATTTCCATTATTTCTTTATAGGTGAAATACTATGTAGTAGGTCCCTTGGTGGGGTGCTTGCTGTGTTCTGGGTTTTCATGTTGCTAGGATTTTTCTTTTGGTTCATCCTCATGAGTGTTTTTTTCTAGTCCACTTCCTTCTCCTACTTTTTCCTTTCACTTCCTCCTTCTCTTTAAATTACCTTGTCTCTGTGCTTAGGTGTCAACATTTTGTTTTGGAATGGGGCCAAAAGGAAAAGAGTAAAGAGCAAGAAGGGAGAAAAGAAAAAGGAGAAAGAGTAAAAGGAAAGGTTGACCAAAAGAAGAGAAAAAGAACAGAAAGAGAGAGATGGGGGTAATAGTGGTACTCAGCAGGGTGCTTTGACCCACTCCTGCAATTCTTAGCATCTGAGGTCTGGAATGGGTGGGGACCTTCAGGTAAGGAGCTCCTTATCAGCCTGAACAAAAACAAGACCCTGCCTCCTCCAAATAGAGAAAGAGGGAGAGAAACAAACAAACAAACAAACAAACAAAACTAAACAGCAGTATGGTGCAATGGAGACCTACTAGTAGAGTTCTTCCAAAGGCCAATGCTAGATAAGGGAATCAAGGACTCCTTGAGCCAGGCCAGTGCTGTCCCAGGCTCTATCCCATGAATGGAATACAGATTGACAAAGACTAAGACAGATCAGAAAAAATATATAAGTATATAAAGAAATTAAAAATAAAATTGTGTAAGGTTTTTTAAAAAGTGTACTTATTGGTTGTTATTTGAGAAATTTTATGAGAATGATAAGAAAAGTAGAAAAATCTTTACAAAAATAAAGAGAGGAGAGAAATGAAAAGGAAAGAAGAAATAAAAAGGATAGAAAAATCATAGCAAAATTAGAGCTCTTATTATTGAAGAAAGTAAAAATGGAAAGATAAAAATAAATGAAAACAGAACACGACAAAACAAACAACAACCAAAAAGAAAGAAAGCAAGAAAGAAAATCCTAAGGAAAAAATATTGGAGAAAAAGAATAAAGGAACAGAAAAACTGTACCAAAAATGGAGCTGTTACTATTGAAGAAACAAACAATGAAAAGTTAAAAATACAAAAACAAAACAAATAAACAATCAAAAACAAAAAACCTATAGGGGAAACACTGAAAAAGAAAAGGAAAAAAAATACATATAGCAATATAGTGCCTGGAGAAAAGGCGATGTTCTTGGGGTAGGAGATACTAATCAATATGGTGCTGATACAGGTGTAAAAGATGGAGGCTGGTTGCTGAAGTGACCCAGTCCCCATTTCCTGATTGATTTGCCCTCAATCTCTGTGGGGTTGGGAACCTGAAGCTTTAGTCAGCCTACTTAGGAGACACACCTCAACCTTTCCAATCAGCGCCCCTTGGGCGCAAAATGTCTTTCCCAGAAAAGCCAGTTTTGCTTAAGTCTCTCAAAGGTGGCTGCCTAGCTCAGAAGGCATGCCAGAACCATCCTGGCACTAGGTAGGACCCAGTAGGCTGTTCCTTCTGGGCATCTCTTCACAATGGGGGTGCCCTGTTAGCAGCTGAAGTACGAGAGCTCCACTGTGCCCAATGAATGGCTCAATCCTGGCAACTTAGCACTGTTTAAGATCACTCACTCACCCTACCTCTCTCAAGGTAACTCTGACAAGTACACAGAAGTACACAGGTCCAAAAAAAAATGCTAGACTGGCCTTCTTTGTCTGAAACCTGCTGCTGAATTCAGCAGTGGCCTCTGTCAGCATGCAAGCACCCACCTTCTGTGCCAAGTTTCCACTGCTCCCAACTTCTTCATTGGAGTCTTCATTCCTGGAGTCTCTCACCACCTCTTTTCTCCCCTCAAGGATGCCACCAGGCAGGGCACATCATTCAGAGATGGCTGTAGTCCTTTCTCCCAGTCTCAACCACCAGCGGCTGCAAAACAGATGTCTGTAGACACCTCTTGAGTTTTTTTCTTTACTTTTTTTTTTTTTAAGATGAATTAAAGCAGTGAAGAATGAAAACCCAGTGGAAGAACAGATTACTAGCGCTTTGTTCAGATTGAAAAGATGAGTAACCATACTTTGTCTTTTGTTTTGTCTTCAGCTGGAAAGGCAACTAATGATGCAGAATGAAATGAGGGAAAGACAAATGGCCATGCAAATTGCTTGGTCTCGGGAATTCCTCAAATATTTTGGAACGTTTTTTGGCGTTACAGCCATCTCTTTAACAGCTGGGTATGTTTACTATTAACTTTCCAATTTTCTTAAATAATTTACTTCTTTTATCTTTTCCATTACCATAATATTATTAAGCTATCCAAGGTAGGGCTTTGGTCTAAATAGTGTATATGTAAAATAACCTCTTGTGGCTTAGTCCTTGGGGGTAATGCTGCAGAAGCAGGATGGTAATAGTTAATTCTGCCTTTAGTTTCTTAGATTTCTTCTGTCCTTTTCCCCACTTTGTAAGTTAGAGAGAGGACTGACTTGACACCAAGGTAGAAGGTGTCTACAAGTTCAGCTCCATAATTATCCCTAAATGGTAGACACTAATCCTTACCTATTTAAAAACAAGGAATCTGAACTTCAAAGTCAAATAAAGTTGAGGAAGTCATAGACCTTGGTCTTGAGAAGAGTAGAATCTGGAGAGGGATCCTGGGTAAGGAAATCTTATTTCTTTTGAGTCTTTCTAGAAGACTCAAATGAACTAAAGAACTTCTGAAATGGATAATATTCTTCCAAAATGCAGGTGCTTTTTTTCTATAAATATATGTGTTTACAGGTTATTTATTGATATTGTTTTTTTCCCCTTGAAACAGAGCAATAAAAAGTAAAAAGCCAGCCCTCCTCATCCCTATTGTTCCATTAAGCTTTATTTTCACCTACCAGTATGACTTGGGCTATGGAACCCTTCTACAAAGAATGAAAAGTAAGTCTTTGATAAATGAGAGTTTCCATTTCCTGACTTATTTTCTGGTTCAGTGATCTCCTACTTAGGACCGTATGGTCCTTCTGATTGAATCTCCAGTGACCAATGGGAGCCACTTCATACCAGCTCACAAGAACCAGTTAAGTTCTGGGGTATTGTGTCAGCTGGTTGTTAAACACTGTCATTTAATTTATTAAAATTTAAATTATATAAATTTTTATTAATAAGTTATAATAAATAATATTAAATTGTTAAAAACAAAGAAATACTCAGAACTCATCTGTTTCTAATTATTTGCTATTATCCATACACTTAGGTCATTTACCAATTGAATCGGTATAATAAAAATGCTGATGTAATATACAGACACAAAAAACTGCAACTATACTCTGACTTTAGTGACATCCCTTTGGTAGCCTGAATGAAGTTGGCCATGGTAGAAGTTTATATACAATGGAAATCTGCAGTTGCCAAATCAAGGCTTGACTTCTTGTCTTGTTGACTGCCTAGACCAGAGGCTGGCAAACTATGATCTGTGAGCCAGCTACCTGTTTTTGAAAATAAAGTTTTATTTGAATATATCTGTGCCAATACATGTATGTATTATTTATGGTTGCTTTTCCATTACCACAACAGAGTTGAGTCACTGAAACAGAAACATGAGCACAGGAGCATATAATATTTACTGTCTGGTCCTTTAAGAAAATTTGCCAGCCTATGATCTAGACTTAAAAAAAACTGATGAAGAAAATGCTAGTAATTCAGATTAAGTTTTAAAATATGTTTTTTCTATAGCCATTATATTGTGACTAACATAAAAAATTGGGGAAATATTCTTCCAGTATTTAAGAACTATTCTTTGATTCAGCAAAGAAGTTGCTCACATTATTTCAAGTGAGTAAAGTTCTAGCATATGTCATCATTATTTCATTTTTGTCCTGTTCATTAACATAAATGAAAACACCAACCATTGTCCAGGAATTAAACTTTCTTATCAACTACAATATAAATTGGCTATGGTTTCGTGAGTTCTACAAAAATCATTGAAAGCATTTAGTAAGAATCAATTTGCTCCATGGAAGTTGTGATTAAGAGTATTGTACATTTTATTATGGTATTTAAGTAAAATTTATTATAAACTTATATACATAATAATCTTATGTCCTCCTCCCCCCCCACAGAGAGCTGATTGTTAAATATTAACTAGCATACTGCTACTCTCAAAGAATACTATCTTTTATTATTGTCCTAGATGGCCAGAGATGATGTTACTACCACAGAAGTTTTTTCTGTGGAAATTTTTCATAAAACAAGCAAACAAACAAAACTCTCTCAAAAACTTTAAATCCATCAGAAAACTTACCACAGTACAAAGTTTAGGTTATCATGTTTTGCCTTTTAATAGTGATAACCCCAAAATATACAATCCCTGTTTGGCTGAATTTATCATCAGCCATTCTGTAAACATGTACTGAGAACTTACCACCTGGAAAGCACGCTCACACAGTAAATGTCTGTCATCAAATTATATGTAATTTTATAATGATTTTATTTTTTATTTAAGAATAAAGCAAAAGAAGATATTTGCAGATGATAAATGCTCTTATAATTTAAAAATTGTAGCCTGATCTTGTAGGTTTGGAGTACAATTAATAGTGCATTAAAAGAGGTACTTACAGTTGCCCTTTATTCCTAAGTCAGGTTTATAAAATGTAAACAATATGTATTTCAATACAATTTAGAAAATTGTTAATTAGTCTCCAACAATGAAAACTGACAAATGTTATTGGGCCCAAGAAATTACTGCAGTATGTTGTTGCTGTTTGAAAGAGAAATTATTTATAAAAATGTGTATGTGTGTATGAATACAGACTAAAGAACAATATTATTTTGGATATTTACAAGTATATAAGGTCAAAGATTGGCTTTTCTGAAAAGTTAGAATTTTCAAGTAAAGTTTATTTTCTTTCTTGTGACTTATGATATAGTAAAGGAAACAGAAAACACTATCTGTGATTCTCTACCCCAAGACCCTCCAAACACAATTAATACTAATTATCCTGACTCTGGTTCAAGGAAAAAAAAATACTTAGTGTTCTTCCTCTTTCATATTTCAAAATCCTATATTTTTGTTAAGAAAAGTATCTAGTATCTGATTTGTCTATGAGTTCCCAGAATTAATCACTGTGTATCCTTTAGGAGGTGTATTACTTCTCCTGAGCAAAGTTGGTGAAATGTTGACTGTGAGACTTGGGGACATAACTCTTATAATGTTACAGTTTGTCTCTGGAATATAGCAATCAGAAAGCTAGAATAACGAAATTTTGATGACTCCTTTTTCACCTTGTATATTTCTGTACTTTATTTAAGGTGAAGCTGAGGATGTACTGGAAACAGAAAAGAATAAGTTGGAGCTGCCAAGAGGAATGATCACTTTTGAAAGTCTTGAAAAAGCCAGAAGGGAGCAGAGTAAATTCTTCATAGAGAAATGAAATAATGTTTACCCACCAAATCTCTAAGCACAAAAAGATTGGCTTGAATCATGGTTTTTACAATTTTCTAATCACTCAAAATTTTGATACAATGGATTTTATTTTAAAATATTAAAATGCAAGATGAGTTTTGTTGAGCTATTTTAAAATAAAATTTGTAACATTAAACACAAAATCATGGAGGTACTCTAAATAACTTTCATATTTCCTACATATGTGTGAAATACCTAAGTGTAAAATTAATAAATTATGTTTATTTGAAGTCCTAGAAGCAAATTTCAAGCTGCTCTCATTTCTCTGTTGAATATACTTTCCACATCACATTCCATTTCCACATATTCTTCTATTCTTTTTATTTGTTAGTTGTGTCCTGTCCCTACATGACAGAAAACAATCAATATTAATGACTAACATTTGACTATACTTGCTATGACTGGCACTGTATAATATGTTTTGTACATATTCTTGTAATCACCTGAACAATTTTATGAGGCAGGAATCATTTTATAAATGAAGAAACTGAGGCACAGAAAGAATGTTTTATTACTTACCCAAAGCCATATTTGGCCACATCTTGGATTTGAACCTAGATAGTTTGTCTCCAGTGTCTATACCCTAAAAAGCCTTGACAAGGTTAGGCATTATCTTAATATTCACTGAATAGCTGTAAAAGAGAAAAGGTAATAACATCCAAATAATGGCTCAGCATTATTGCTAGAGAGGTGGGTGGGAAGGAGAATTGAGTAGATGCTCACCTTTTTCCTTAGTCTCACTGGGACACCTATTTTAAAAATACTCTTATTTATACCTATTCCTCCAGATGCAAACCCTACATATAATATTATAATTTTCATTCCAAAGATATTTATTGATACACAGTATTTGCCAGACACTGTTGGATAGAGTGTAGGTACATAAGTGAATACACAGACAAGACCCTGCATCATGGGCAGAAGAATATGTTCTAGTGAAGGATGGGAGAATTGGGGAAGACACAAATAAATATGGAGATAAATAAAGATCATTTTTAATGAGGACAAATGCTTTTGTGGAAATGAAACAGGATAAGAGAATGGGAAGATAAGGTAGTGCTATTTTAGAGCTGAGATTGAGTGACTGATTCTCTGTAGAGGTGACATTTGAGCTGAGACCTGAATGATGATGAATGAGCAAGCCTTTTGACAAACAGGGTTATGGGGATAGGGAAGGAATCTCTAGGAATAGGAATAGCCATAGGAAAGAGTCTGAGATGTGTGGTCAAAGAATAGAGAAAAGTTTAGAGAGAATAGTGGGAGATTAAATCTGAAGGTGGGAATAAGCATAAATATAATAGGGACCCTGCTGTCAAGGAGCTGATAACATACAGACATGTGGATTCGATATGATTTTAGTTGTTGAGAACCTTGGGCCAAGTCTGGAAGGATGCATAGAAGTTGTCCGTGTAGGCAAAGAATTGAAGAGGAAAGTTTCAGTCAGAAGAATTGGTTTACAAAGAGAAGACCATGCATACCAAATCCAAGTAGTTGTTGCAGGTCATTCAGTTTGGGGTAAGGAGCTCCTTATGTGGGGGACTTTTAAAGAAATGAGCCTGGTGATACAAGTCAACTCCTGCAAGACCTCGGATGTAATACCAAAGAATTTAGACTTTCCTAAGAGTAATAGCAGTGAAAGAATGCATATTGGGATTTTATAGGGATCAGAAGATTGAAGAGAAACTATCCCAGATCCCAAGTAATGAGGAACTGCTATGATGCACCATGCACCTGAGTGTTGATGATGGGCTGAATTAATGCCATTACCTTGGGGACAGATTCAGGAATATGAAAAGAAAGAAGAACCAGGAAACCAGTTTGAGGTCATGGATGGGGGGGGGAAGGTGATTTCCCTTCATTTATTCCACGTGGATTATCTAAGCGTCTAGGGAACATGGAATAAGAAGTATTGTGTGGCACCCTGGTCAGCTAATGAATGCCAAAAATCTAGGGCTCACTTGTAGATCATAGCCAAATCTGGAATTGTATTTCCTCATAATTCAATCATGCTATCTAAATGTTCCTCACACTTTCTAGCCAGGGCTGAAATGGGTTTGAGGTCCTAGCAAGGCCTCACATGGGATTTGTGTTGTGGTACAGCATAACCAGGCCACGGGTGCCCTTGGGGCCACTAGGCTATTCATTTGTATTGGCTTTTTCCTGTGGCTCTAACTCAATAGAGTCCCTGCCAAGAAACATAAAAACATTCCTCTCTTTCTCTCTTCCACTCCCCATTGTATATATAGTGAGGGAAAAATCAAATAAGAATTATTAACTAATGGCTTTGCAGCACAACTATATCACTTTTCCTTTTTTAAGATTTCCAAAATTTAAGGGGGTGCAAATGTTTTGTTATATGGATAGTTTTTATAATGCTTAAGTAAGGGCAGTTAGTGTGCTCATCACCCAAATAGTATTCATTGTCCCTGTTAGGTAGGTTTTTACCCCTTCACTCCACTCAACTACCCACTTCTTGATTTCCAATGACTTGCCTCTCTCTGTGCCCATATGTTTTCATTGGGCATATTCATGCCATTGGGCATAATTATGTTCCAAATTATTAAGAGTATGTGTCGATCATTCCTGGGATACTTAAGTTAGGATAATGTCCTCCTGTTCCATTCAAATTGCTGCAAAAGGCAGTAATTCACTCCTTTTTCTGGTTGCTTAGTACTCCCTGGTATGTATGAATTTGTCACATTTTGTTAATCCACTCATGAATTAATGGGTGCATAGGTTGACTTTACTTCTTTCAAATTGTGACTTTTGCTGCAATAAACATTTGAGTGCAGGTGTCTTCTTAATAAAATTCTTTCTTTTCCCTCAGGTAGGTACCCATTAGTGGGATTGTTGGATTGAATGGTAAGTCTACAGTTATTTCTTTGAGGAATCTTTAAACTGTTTCTATAGAGGTTGTACTAACTGACAGTCCCACCAACAGTGTATAAACATTCCCTTCTCTCTGCATCCAGGCCAGCATCTACTGATGTTGACTTTTTAATAATGGCCATTCTGAAAGGGGTAAGGTGGTATCAATAGTTTTAATTCGCATTTCCCTGATGATTAATTATGTGAAGCATTTTTCATATGTTTGTTGGCCATTTGTCTATCTTCTTTGGAGAAGCTTCTATTCATGTCTTTTTTCTACTTTTTTTTTTTTCCACTCTTTTTTTTTTTTTTATTGAATGGTAACTATGTACATTAATGCACTTCTAGGGTACAGTGTGGGGTTTTCACATGCAATCTGAAATACTTCCATCAACTGG